TCAAGTGGTCAGGCAAGGCTTTTCTCTTTACCCTTACCTTTTCATTATCGTCATTGATACGATTATGGAAGACTCACCACCAGCATCTAACGGCTGTGGAGTCGAAGTACTCCCGGGGTGTTCGCTCACAGGTATTGATTGCGCAGATGACGTAGCTCTTCTTAGGTCTGATGCCGTGGTAATGCAAACAATATTAAATAATCTAAATAATTCTACCTCACGGTTCGGCATACTCTTCATAACTGCAAAGTGTTACTGCAAGACTGGGTGGCCTCGAACCCTAAACTCATGCTTGCGGGTGAGCTGATTGAGGTAGTAGACAAATTTGTCCACCTGGGAAGCTGTATCAGTCCCGGTGGTCTCGCGATAGATTATATTTCCATCACGATGGGAAGCCCAGTGGCTCAGATTCGCATTTTTTTCGAGTGCATATGGAAGCAAGTTCATATTTTCGACAGCGACCCGGTCGATTTCCGAAGCTGAAGCTCAGCGTCAGTCCACGTGTTTTTATTCATTCTCTCACGCGGCTGACAAACGTGTAGTTGAACGGCCACTGCCACTCTCCACAGGCTATTGAATCTTGTACTTTGTTGACCTCAGTAACCTTTCTTGCGCAGTAATGATTAGCCTGATGCATAATACTGCTTTATTGTTCCTGTGGTAACTTGCTGCTGATAGCAATCCGATTTCCTGAGGAGCTTCTCCCTCACACTATCATTCTCTCTTTTGGGCTCGGTAGTCTTATGTGAATTTGTAGAAGGATGCCCTGTTGGTACGTTTGTCGTTTGAGCCGCTACTGGCTGACAGTGCGTCACTGAAGGCATGATTTCTTCGGAAACAGAAATATGGTCTTTGGCGGAGGAAACCAAAGACTGTTGAATATCTCGTGGGAAATCGCGAAACACACCTCATGTGCCTCTGTAGGTGTTCTTTGGTCTCTTGCAACCTGCCAATCATACAAGGCAGACAGCACCCAATTTACCGCTTGCCAGTGTCAAGCAAAGCCATTGCTGATTTGTTATACGGCCTGCCATGCATGAACGCCCGACCTTTATCTACCTGACTAAATGTACAAGTGAAAAGCAGTCTCCTGTTTCCCTTCCCTGTGGTATTTTCTACACCGATCCTACTAGGTTTCTTACCTTTTACGCATCGTGAAATGTAAAAATATCAATTCAGAGTCTTCCAGGGGAATGAAAATATGGCATACGCTTTCATGAAAATGAATGCCAATAAGCATGACGCTCGTATTGGTTCCTGTGTGGAAAGACCCCCCACCCCGAGGGGAAGCGTGCCGAAAATCGGACTATGTAAATAGTTTACACAGGTTTTTGCCAAACAACACGACAACCACAGTGTTCATCTGGCCGAACACGAATGGGAACAGCCTCAAGGTCTGACGTAGGCTTTAAATAGCATTAATCACTGAGTCAAGGTAGTATCGGTATAAGCTAGTTCTATGGTATTGTGCCAGTTAGTTATACTTGGTACCGAACTGTCCTGTTGGGTCATCCCCAACACCTCTGTAGAAAACTTGATATAATTGGGTTATAAACTGCCACGTCTTCGCACATGCACTGATTTGTGTTCATCCATTTTTGTTATAAGCTTTATTACGTACTACTTACTGAGTACTCTTCAGTCGATTAAGGGGAAGATACCAAACGGCAATTTCGATACACTGTTGGTACCGTATGTTGTGCTGAAAACAATCGAATCGCGTACAGTGAAATCCACGGTTATAATATTGGCCATTCTGCAAAAAGCAGTTGCGTGACGCGCGAATTTAGTTACAATAATTGAAGAACGCCTGTATTAAGGAGCACAGAAAACATGTTTTTTGTTAAAAATTGATTCCGAACCTGTAAAAACTACATCAAAAGCAACGAGAGTACGAAACGTGACAAAGTGTACCGAAAACCATGCAGATTTATAACATTGACGCGGAATAGCGAACGCGCGGGAAACATGAGATCCTGACGACCACATATCAGGCTCTTGAACCATCACTGAGTTTTTCTTTGTAGTGATGTGCACACATAATCATTAATCACAGCAAACGATGGGAGAGGAGCTCTGCCTTCCTAACCAATATAGTCCTAACATGGTTCGCCACCGCAGGTCCTTGGTCAAAGTTTCCAGTTTGTCTCTTTGTTCATCATCTGTAGCGTACCATGTATATTGTATCTGTCATACTATGTTGTATTGAGTGACCCTACATTTCATTTTATTGTACTATCATATTATGTTCTGTTGTTTTCATATTTCATGTGTGGATCTGCAGACGTTCTGCCTTAACACTGCACATTCCATAGTGTGAAGCCTACAATGCTAGTCGTAACTAGCATTGTACAGGTCATGTTGATCACTGGCTGTCACTGGTTAGCTATGTTTGTGCCACGCGTGCGTCTTGCGAGTGGTGAACCCCTTCCGCATACACTGTGGGTTCCAAATATTTAGTTATTATGATCTGATTTGACAGTTATGGGCCATCAGTTGGACATGTAAGTTGATGTCCTGGGACCTGCCCCCTCCTGTCCACTCTCCAGTCTTACTCTTTCGTGTGGACACCGGGTTAATGCCATTCAGTTGGTTGTACATGCAGCGCAGCCGAAATCGCATGCGACTACCCACTGGGATACATGCGAACGGCTGAATATGACAGGCAAATCCGGAAACGGTTTCAATCCCGCCACCTACCAGAACTTCACGATATTTGTGCACGTGTTAGTCATTAGTTTACTCTTGCTGTGGATTTTACTACCTGTCCCTGCACTTAGATACAATAGGGCTCGTCCCATTGCAATGACCACTTGTAGATGCTGTCTCTTTCGTTGACTTTCACATAAACAGGAACTTTTGATCCATCCATTCTTATTCACATTTAGTAGTGTAACTATAAGCAGATAACTTAAGCTTTGGCCTCTATTCCACTGGTTATGTAGTTGATTTTAGGTCGGCACACTCCACACGTTGTTGACCCCGCATTTGGTATGCATCGATTGCAGCTTCGTCACCGAAACACATAAATAATTCACTACTGGCTGTCTTTCAGCAAGCACAGCATTGATGCTCATCCCCTGATTGGCACTGATTCGTCACACACCAGGAACATGCTTATTGTTGTAAGCTGTGCATTCGTTCTGCATCTAATAGAAACCCCCGTTACACTACCTTACAGTCCTTGGTGCATAGTCTGTGGCTCAGATTCGCATTTTTTTCGAGTGCATATGGAAGCAAGTTCATATTTTCGACAGCGACCCGGTCGATTTCCGAAGCTGAAGCTCAGCGTCAGTCCACGTGTTGTTATTCATTCTCTCACGCGGCTGACAAACGTGTAGTTGAACGGCCACTGCCACACTCCACAGGCTATTCAATATTGTACTTTGTTGACCTCAGTAACCTTTCTTACGCAGTAATGATTAGCCTGATGCATAATACTGCTTTATTGTTCCTGTGGTAACTTGCTGCTGATAGCAATCCGATTTCCTGAGGAGCTTCTCCCTCACACTATCATTCTCTCTTTTGGGCTCGGTAGTCTTATGTGAATTTGTAGAAGGATGCCCTGTTGGTACGTTTGTCGTTTGAGCCGCTACTGGCTGACAGTGCGTCACTGAAGGCATGATTTCTTCGGAAACAGAAATATGGTCTTTGGCGGAGGAAACCAAAGACTGTTGAATATCTCGTGGGAAATCGCGAAACACACCTCATGTGCCTCTGTAGGTGTTCTTTGGTCTCTTGCAACCTGCCAATCATACAAGGCAGACAGCACCCAATTTACCGCTTGCCGGTGTCAAGCAGAGCCATTGCTGATTTGTTATACGGCCTGCCATGCATGAATGCCCGACCTTTATCTACCTGACTGAATGTACAAGTGAAAAGCAGTCTCCTGTTTCCTTTCCCTGTGGTATTTTCTACACCGATCCTACTAGGTTTCTTACCTTTTACGCATCGTGAAATGTCGTAAAAATATCAATTCAGAGTCTTCCAGGGGAATGAAAATATGGCATACGCTTTCATGAAAATGAATGCCAATAAGCATGACGCTCGTATTGGTTCCTGTGTGGAAAGACCCCCCACCCCGAGGGGAAGCGTGCCGAAAATCGGACTATGTAAATAGTTTACACAGGTTTTTGCCAAACAACACGACAACCACAGTGTTCAGCTGGCCGAACACGAATGGGAACAGCCTCAAGGTCTGACGTAGGCTTTAAATGGCATTAATCACTGAGTCAAGGTAGTATCGGTATAAGCTAGTTCTATGGTATTGTGCCAGTTAGTTATACTTGGTACCGAACTGTCCTGTTGGGTCATCCCCAACACCTCTGTAGAAAACTTGATATAATTGGGTTATAAACTGCCACGTCTTCGCACATGCACTGATTTGTGTTCATCCATTTTTGTTATAAGCTTTATTACGTACTACTTACTAAGTACTCTTCAGTCGATTAAGGGGAAGATACCAAACGGCAATTTCGATACACTGTTGGTACCGTATGTTGTGACATGAGATCCTGACGACCACATATCAGGCTCTTGAACCATCACTGAGTTTTTCTTTGTAGTGATGTGCACACATAATCATTAATCACAGCAAACGATGGGAGAGGAGCTCTGCTTGAGACACCCATCTTTCGTAAGACTATTTCACCACCTTTCAGCCATCGTTCATAAATGGATGGTTGAATGCATTATATTTTACCCTGTTTTTTACGCCCGTGTTTTTTCACTCTATTCACCAGTGGCTTTGTGATTGATAATCAACTATTAGTTCGGCAATGAAGGGTTACTCTTTTAGTAAGCAATATGTGGTTTCATCACGGTTTGTGATAATTTTGGTGCTTTTTAGGCCAGACCTGAGTAGCCCCATCTAAAATCTTAACGAATTGTGTTTCAGGAGATAGACTGGTTAACCAATTGACGTACTTTAATGTGGTCTCGAAAAATGAACCCGGGTGACCTTGCTCTATATGGTTTGCTTTTTCTTTGCCGCTTCTTAGCGATAGATATGCTTCCTCGACGTTCGATTGGGTCTCCTGGAGCCGAACTGGTCTGGCAAAGCCAACCGCTGTTTTCTCCCAGGGATCTTGGTAGAACACCAGCGTTGGAAGCGAACAAGTTAGTTTCAGAGAGTGGGAGTCTGGTGAGTAGATTTACCCATTACATCGCCAGTTTTATCCTTTTTCTTCGCAGTCTAAATTACACAGCGATTTGGCTGTCATAATTCGCACCAAAGAAATCATAACTTGATGTCCTCTCCGCGTTCATAGAAATCTGTATCTCGACGGTCTGGCCCTTCAAGGTCTGTGATAACGACCCAAAAACAACGCAGCAAACAATCACCCAGTCTCACCTCATCTCCTGGAATGGCAACCTCAGCTTCCATTCTTACCATGAAGGCTATGTCCAATCGCAGTCGTGGAACCCAAGTGACTGTCACTCAAAAGACCGTCGAAGACACACCTTCCAGTCCAGCCAGTTCGGTTTCCCGCACATCCCGTGGTGCCGGTCGGTCGGAATCGCAGCTTATTAAAGTATCCAGACCAGTACGTTGTTACTTTTTTGAGCATAAAGCTTTACGGCGACTTCCTGGCGTAAAACTTTTCACTTGCTCCAGCCCGTCCTTCGTCGGACGAAGCTATTTTGTAGGATGGTGGTCTCAATGCTCGTCGATGCTCGAGGCTTTGGGTAAACCGCTCATAAGCGAATTCCGGCCGACACTGGACAAATTGTCTTTATGCAACTTTATACTCCAGTATTGTCATGAAACCAGTTGCACTCATTTTCCATGCGGGACACCAGCTGCTGATAGGAAACGCAGAGGCAATGTGGTAAATTATGTCTGATGAAATACGACCTCAGTAAACAACTGAAGCTTTTGTGGTCCAACCACTCTGTACCACTGTCATTCTCCCCACTGTAATAATCCATGACACTAGTGAGCTGTTCCCCCTAGCCTGGTTAGAGCAAACCCGATACAGTTGTAATTGTACGTGGGCTTAGTCCTTAAAAAATCTGTGAGAACAATGATGTAGGTGTGTGTTTGCGTGATTTTTTCTGTGGGGGAAATGCATTGCTTCAATGTCTTGATCGCTTCCAACGTCGGCAGGCAGGTCATAAATCCTCTCCCGATAATGATATACTGAGAAAACGACCGTGGTGCTGCCAACACTCACTATCTCCTATGGATATGCAGTAGATCATTAGAGGTTACGGACGGTAAGAATAACTCAGACTCTACGTTTTCATACAACCTACATTTTGGGGGGATGATCAAAAGTCACACACTCACCACACGGAACAGTAATCAATAGAGTACACTGAGATTCTTGAAAGGTGTCAGTAGCAATTTGCATACCTCTGTAGTCTGAAAGAAGAACATCTACCGCATGATCGCATATTCTTTCTAGGTGGGTAGGTCCATCTACTTTTGCAGAAAAGATTTGGAAATTAAAAAATGGTGGTTGTGAGCGGAATGTGTGTTTAGCAAAGACCTAAATTATTGAATTACCATAAGTTGTTTATGCTGTACTGTAGTCTTTATTTTCAATCTGCACTGTAACAGACGTGCCGAGTTTCCACCACTATCGACCAAAGCACATCAAGTCATGTCCCGTGTGGCTACTGGTATTACGGTGTAGTTTAGCAGCAGGTTTTATGATATCAGACGTGTGCTTTACAGTTCAAGTAATACATCCAGACTGATGACAATGACCGATTCACCTTTGATGCCTATTCCTGGGAAGTTCTTCAACGATAAGTTTCAACAGCAGGATTCGTTGACGAGCTTATGGATATAAGGCACGGTGTGTCCAAAGAATCATCATCGTCTACCCACAAAGGAGCTGCCTTGGTAAAGATTTTCCTTTAAGTTTTTTTGAGCGGCTCTATGCATTCGTTTCTTTGGTAAGCGACTCAGTATCCTTGGGCGGTTTCGATTTGACCTTTTTGAAATTATTTAGTTCCGTTGTCTTCATTTCTTCAGTTTACCATTACGTTCAACTCACCACGCCTCTGTAACTACCGGTCGTATGCATTTGGATTTCCGATCATGGCTTACATACTCTGACGGTTTTCACCGCTTCCTGTTTTTCCTTGTTTTTCGTCACTAGCTAATCGCAGCTAATTTTAAAACCTCTCAATCAATATAGTGACAGTTGCCTCTGTGCGTGCTTTGGCTTGCGTCCACTCAGGTCATTCACACACATATGTGTTTATCCGTCTTCTTTTCTGTTTCCGTGTGTGTTATGTCGCTCAGGCTACCTGCGTTCATCTTAGGCCAGACGAAGTTACGTGCATGTGTTGTTTACGTGCATCTAAAAAACTATTTCGGCGTCGCAATTCAGTACGGTAGAGTTGCTGTAGTAGAATGGAGTAGAGTAGTGTTTTTTGTCCAAAGGTGCAGTGCTAGGTGGGCATAGGTGTCGCTACAATTGCATCATTCCAGTTGGTTGATGTAGATCACTTGAAGGTCCGCCAACTTTTATCGACCCTTTGCTGTGGAAGATGCTATCGGGTCTACACAGCTGACCTATCCTGTTCTGAGTCGAATTGCCCATATATTGTCTTGCCAATATTACCTAACACCATCTTTTCGTATATTTTATGGGCCGATATCCTTTTTGTAGGCACACGGAACCACACATCCTACTCGGCACACCATTGCTGATTATGGATTGAAAAAACTCATGAGATGTTTAATTATTTGTCGTGTCAGGTGCGATGAGCTTGCCTTCTGTGGGTTACTATCTAGTTACTCTCTAGAATGTTACGATATCCTTTTTGTAGGCACATGGAACCACACATCCTACTCGGCACACCACTGCCGATTATGGATTGAAAAAACTCATGGGATGTTTAATTATTTGTCGTGTCAGGTGCGATGAGCTTGCCTTCTGTGGGTTACTATCTAGTTACTCTCTAGAATGTTTCTGTCATCCTATCTTTTGAGGTTATGGCTTTCCAACCTGCATGAATGTACTGCGACAGGTTAGACGGAATTAGTTCTTGTTCTAACCAGGCCCTCTTTTGACGACGTAGTAGTTAGGTTGAGCTTTTCATCGCAGAATATTCTGCGAGTTACAGCAAACGATCCATCTAGCGAGCATAGTTTTATTAGCTTTCTCCTTGTGATCTTCAGGCCGTTCACATCAGTCCTAAATCTTAGGTCTTCGTCCCCCTCTGAAACGCAACAGCCCCCAACACAGCCGGATTCCGTCAACTCTAGGCTCTCGGCAGAGATGGCCCTCCAGGTTGAGAGTTGGAACATGTATGGCAACGTGTTCCGTAAAAATGGTAATATACTTGCATTTGCAGCCCAACACCGCTCCCTTGCGGTTAGGCTTTTGAGCCATAGACTTTGGTTGAGGACCTTAATCGTCCTCCTGTCTAGATGTGGGCGCCCTGGCAGTATCCCAGCCCTCGTACAACCATGACCTACACAACTAACAATATTCTCATGCCACATCGGCCGTCGCGTGGTGCTATCAGCCGGGTCGCCTTACTTGCTGCATACAGCAGGGCGGGTAAGCGAAAACAGGCTACTGCTGACGCCTCCCTTCGTACTCTTTCACGTTTTCCGTCTTCCACCCTCCGCCGCCCAAATTTGAATACTTTCTCCGCGGGTCCCTTTGACTAAAATGATGTTTGTGTGCTATTAGGAACCCCCGCTCCCGATTTCGCTAAGTTGAATACTGTTTACTGCTTCTGTCGGACTGCTGATAAGTAAGTAAGTAATCATGCTTTTAATTTCTACTATCGTATTGTCCCCGTGACGGACTCTGAACCGAACCATGTGAGCTGTCTTTTAACGGGTTTTCTCATCAGGAAACATGCAGTTTTATCGTTGCTGGATTTCTAATTAAGAGCAATTTGTCCGGGATGTCAGTGACTTTTACCAACCGTCAGATTGTCAGGACACGAAGATGTAGTTTCCTTCTTTCCTTATCAGCTCGTTAACAGTCAGTATCTTCCCATCCATCCCTTCTCATATTCAGCCCTCCAGTTGTGGTACAAGCTCACCTCGGAGTTCTCGTCTGTCCGTGAGTAGTCAACAAAGCCGACAGAGCCCGGTAACCTCTGGTCTTGCAGGCCTAGACTATGGATTCGCGACCACGGACAGTAAGCGACATCAAGCTGCAAAAGCGTCCTATATGTCTCCCATTGCGGATCGAATTCGGAACCTCAGATCGGGTGATTCAAAGACCTCATTCCAGACCAATAACGTCGTTTTAATATCCGTTCGGCCTCGCAAACTGGAGACAAATCACGAGCAAGTAGTGGACAGGTTGGCGAATATGATGGCTGAACGAGCCCACATGAAGTCTCCAAACTTGGAAAAGCACGATTCTGGTTGGTCCCTCTCTGTTGGCCTCCGTACTTCTTGTGCTTTGCAGACAAACTAATTGTAGTATCGAGACGCTGGATAGCTGGATCTCATTAATTCGGATTTGCAAAGATCGAAAGTTTTTATTACTACTTTGACTCGCTTAAGACGATAGCTTGGAAAGGTTGGCAGACAAAAACAAACTGCTCCTAATTGTTTACTCGTTTTTCACCAAGTCACATCTAGGCATTCAGCAAAAAAGCCCCTATTTTAATTTATTTTGTCTGTGCTTCGACACATTCGATATGTCCATAACTTTGTCCTTGAGTTAAAAAGGGCACCCAGATGACTGTGGCTTATATTCGACCATTTTAGAACCTAATCCTTTTCTATCCAATGATCTCATTCCCCATTGGGCTGATTGCGCGACCTTATATCTTCCTTCCGAGTAGATCGTCTGGGTCGGTGGTCCAGTGAGCGAGTTGTTTTCCTTGGATCACGCGATGTGCCAGTCTCCTCTATTTCTTCAACCTCGGGTCTTGAAGACAACGACCAACCTTGGCAATTACGATGCGAGGATCTCAGGAAACGTGACGGACATAGAAAACGTCACGGTGACACGAGTTCCTTGTGGTCCTCTGGGTCTTCTTACGGTCGAAATGAGCTCGCTCGAGTGGCCGGTAGTGCTGAAGCGAGTACACTATCGACAAAACAGAAAGACGGTACTTTAGTCGCCCCTGACACTCCCCATGTCGATGTTATAAGGACCAGTCCTTCGGACAGGAACGACGATACTCGTCTGGTTTCTTCCGTTGATCCTAATGAGGTGAGTTGCTGCTCTAGGCTTTTGTAACGATTTCGTATCCGTTTTACTCCTTGCACAATCATGATGATTTATTGAGGCTTTGGGATACCGATCCTTTCGTAAACGTTGGGGTGCACCAGGTAGACGTAGAGAAATCGGGCATGACTCTTTGTTAGCGGTTTTAAGCCGTTTACCACGAGACCACATATTCCTTGACCGGCTTGCACGCTTAATGACTTAAAACAACTGAGATAGCGAAATGAGAAGTTCGAGTACACGTAGCATGAACTAAAAGGCACACCCATTTTCAGGTGTGCATTTTTGTTCATGTCACATGCACTTGAACTTCTGATCCCAAAATCTGCCAAACCCTCTTCTACTCTATGAAAGCCGGTTTTCTTCAGCTTGAAATTCCTAAGCTGTACGAATCGATCGGCGGACATGTGGTCTGTTGGGATAAGGGAGGGAACTACAATCGAGGATCTTGTGTTTAGGCCCTCTACACCCATCTGATGAACCCCGATGAGAATGAAGGTCCTCATGTGACGGAGTTTTCGGAATCTAAACACATCTGCGTCTGCAATGAGGTGTGGTCAAATTTTAAGCCGTCCTGATTACTATTCAGGTCCCCTGAAATAATCGAATCACCAGTATAGTTTCCGTCACCCAAATCATGCCACTGTATGCCGAAAAGCCGAGAAGCATCGTCCAGCCCTTAGGAATGTCAGCTGTGTTGGTATGTCTGCGAAAACACCATCCTAGGGCCATTCTATAAGGACGCATTGTCCTCAGCGCATCCCAAGTCTTCTTTTTATCGCACTATGTTCTAATAACCTCAGTTGTTGCTTCCTTCGTTCGAATTAGTGTCGGTATCTTAATGCACCGTCACCGTCGACGCTGCAGTGCATTGATGCCGACGACACACGTGTGGCAGATAGTACACCCACGTTAATGCACTGTCTGACAATCTCCAGGCCAGACGTTAGCCATATCTGCTTCAAATAGTCGAGCTATCCCGTAGCCTTAGTAGCACGATGCTATATGCATGCGTCAGTGTCTCTTGAGGGCTACCGTGCAACATACACAGTGTGGAGCAGTGGCTGAGAATGCAGTGGCTGCATTCTCAAGTGAGCATACAGTCGGGTTTGTTCGCCCCCGATCAGCTTCTATTTCCATTCGATGTCAGCTGTGGTGTGCCGATCCGGACGCACCTTCGCTTACTTCGACGGATTTATGGGTCGTAGTTCTAAAGTGTGTTACCAAGCTGCTCATTACTAACGGACTTGTGCTGTTATCAGAACACACTCATCTGTCAATATGCCTATTATCCAAACACGTGCACAATCGCGTGTGCCCTTGTAAAAACTGTCCTAATCACATTATGCATCGATAGATTCACTGATAAGTTAGCCCGTTAGATTCCGGAGGGTTTCTGACGTATATATTGGCATCCGTAAATCTCAAATTACAAATTCGTATTTCAGAATCGCTGAAATCGATGGCACCATCATAACAAAGCACAATAACGTCATTAGTCATTTCATATCTATAAACTGAGGAGGCCTAAGGCAGGCAATCAGTAGCTCGTAAATGATGCTATCGGTCATAAAGATCGGGTGCAAAACTGTGGGAATTAATTGGTGGTAACATTCCGTTGTTCCATGACCTCTATTGCTGGTTGACAGGTCCCAAGTTCTGGTGGGCAGAATTCGCTTCTGGAATGGAACCTTTTTCTACCTCGGAACTGCACACTTTTTTTGGCTGACTGATCTGTCATTACCTATTGTGGTTGGAATATTAACAGAGTAGTTCTTTAAGGTATACCTGGCCGATTGTCCCCCGATCCAACATAGGTTTGGAGTCCTATTGACCACAGTGTGTAGTGTAGTTAAGAAGGAGCTCCCAAACAATTTTTCGCACTGATGCCGTTTCTTCAGGGTGCTTTTATGAGACAGTTTGCAAACTCAAGCAAATCCTCTGGAAGTGAGTCCATCCCTTATTTGACACTGCGTTAGCAATGTTATTAAGCTACAGCTGGCGAGTCAATTCCGAGGAAAGGCGCCTTCATGTTTGAAGTGGTGAGGGTTACCTAATCGGGGATTACAAGACGAAAGTCTCTCCCTACCTGACTCTCTTATCGATAACCCAGCGGTTAGCATCTTTAGACAGTGACCCGACGGCTCACACAATACGTCCAGGATGAAGGGTGTATTTGTGCTAATCGCAACTATTTGTCCTGTTCATCCAAACAGTGTCGAGTTTGAGTAAGTTTGCGCGGATGTCGTTATCGTGTGGAGCTAACCTGACATTGATTTCTATCCGTCCACACCGTATATTCTCATGGCATGTCTCGCCTTACTCCCAACAATCGTACACTACCTGCCGTAGTACAACACCTCACCGGTGTGTAGCAAGCGTTATCATGTGGGTTTTTGAATTCCTTTTATTTTTCATAAAATATGCTTGAGAATTCCCAGAATAGGTTGGAACTTCTTACGTAGATGGTAGATCCTGAATCTTGTCTTCTATTCACGACTTTCGTCGCTTACCGTGCATGGGACCCAACGCAGATTAATTTGTTACTTCCCCCTATTCCTATACCATAGTTAGCATGAAAAGTCTTTCGGCTTCTCTTCAGTGCGCATGACTACCAAAAATATTTTTCTCTTTTGTTACCTACTTTATTAGTTGTTTGCAACTCCAGGTTTCATTACTTAAAAAAACTTGAAACCGGCCGGTTGCTAGTGTTGGTAAGCAAACCCTATACTAATCGACCCTTAGCATTTGTTTTAATTACGGTATATATATACCCATAGTTACTAGTGCAGTCGTTTTTGTCCCTTTCGCTTTTCCTGTCAACAAATAAAATGTCCCTCTATGTTTGGTGACCTCACAATAAAAAAATCGATACCCCACGGGAATGTGGCTGGACGAGTCCTTGTATATTTTGTTGCTCCTCTACTGACGCGTTACACAACCAGTCTAACTTAACTTACCAGTTTCATCTGTGTGTGAGATACCTCACCCCTTTTACAAAAATTTATATCACGTCTGAAGGTTTACACCCGGTGTTGACGGAAACTTCTTGCACGAGTTGCCTTAAAATTAAGGCAAAATTCAATACATCATTCTGTAAGTTGGATTATGTATTTTCCGTCCGTGTCGGCTTTGCTGCTGCTCGATCAAGCAGTTTTGCTGTGACATCCGTCTCTGGGTAAAATCTGTGAGGATGTGTGGATATCTGATTTGCTCAATGTGATTCACCTTTGTTCTCCCACACTGCTTGCCCCACTGACTGCTGTTGTTTTATCTTTACCACTTATGGCGTGGTTCTATCAAAGAAGCTCTGTGTCTTGAGTGCTTATAGTACCCTTGTTTACTGCGATTCTGGTGTTTTAACTCCATCGCCAATTAGCTCGAAGGTTTTGTGATTGTAGACTGCGCTAGATAGTGTTGACTTGGTGTGTATTTTTGACTTTTGCTGAAGGTAATATCCTGAATCATATGACTCTAATATTTCGCTGTGTGGGTGAAATCAGCATATGCTGAAAAGCCATGTAGCACCATGCAGCTGTTTCAGTTTTACTGGAAATCACTAGCAGCGTGTCTCACGAAACCAGCGACCTCTCAGCTAGTAGTTGAAACACATCTGTTTGGCCACGAGCGGCCGGGAAATTGCGGATCGTGCCATGCGTACTGTTGATAATTCCCAATAAAGATGAAACAGCTGGATGGTGGTCCAGCATAGCACAAAATAAATTTAAAAAAGTAAAATTCTAAAAATATCCTTTCCTACCTACGTATAGATTTTGCGCTTAGCGGTGTTTAGTTCCTCACCAATTTTCATGCACGTTTGTTCATTCTTGAACGCTTGAATATCAGAGATCATCTTTTTAATGCGGCAGCATTTAGATTCGCTCTGGTCCGATATATACACTTACTGATATAATTCCGTTGTGCATGTAGCCGCGAAACGCAATTTGAAAAGCATGTGACACAAGGCCCAACATTCGGTGATACCAGTAACAAAGCGGGACAAATCAATCGTGGCACGTAACCACGTTGACTTTCAGCTGTACGTGTTTCACCAGTAATGTTAGATACTGTATACCAGTAATTACCGAATGGGTCGAAATCATGTCACTACTCCAGTTACCCTGTTTGATATACGCGACCCCAATAAGCCCCGTTTTCAGTACCTGACTGTCATGCCAATGGAAGGAGGCACGAGGGCTGAGGTAGTGCCAGGTTACCCAAGCCTAGACAGGAGCAGTCGAGATGCAAAGGCTGAGTTCGAACCGCAGGCCTTCCGGCCAATAAGTTTGCGCTTTTACCATTGAACCATTTCGAGCTCGTTGGTGCAATGACATTAGTTTACTGTAGTGACAGCTGTCGCGCGTGAACAAGTCATCAATCGCCTTTCTCCATTAGCTGGCTGTTATATAGCACTGGTTTCTGATAGTGTAAATATCGTCAGCTTGACATTGCAGGCATTATATATCACAAGTTCACCTCAATACCAAGTAGTATCTTACCGTGGTACTTTGTCTGGGCGGTTTGAGTTGCTGCCCTGAAATGTATGTGACGGAACCAGTTACTTCAGGTACAACTGTCGTCGGCATNTTAGCTTCCGAAAAGTGTACAATCTGGATTTTGTGGAATGCATGGTTGTTCTATGCACAGGGGGGCTAGGTAAGCTGTATAAGTGCAGTGGTCGTGCAGTTCGGTTGATAGATACATCTCTATGACATTGGTGTGCGCATATTGCCTGTCCTTGCAATCAGCATACTTCTCCTTAATGTGAAGAAATCTATAAATTCAAGGGAGATTTACTATCTGCGACATTCTGCTGATCCTCAGGCCAATTGCACGGTCTGAACAGTATGTCGTCTCCGTCCGTGCATGTGTAATGATGGTCAGATTCTCCGTCTGAGTTCCGTTTGAAATGAATCCACACAGGATTAATTTGCGCCCTCTGCAGAACTGATATGTACACAAAAAACACCTATTTATACTCCGCTTATATGGTGCATGGTACTCGGGGAAAGTCTAGTTCTGTCGTGCATGTGACTGTGTTTGGGCCACCGTGTTTACTGCTTGACTGTATTTTTCCGCATGCATGCTCATACAAGCATTCATACAGACCAAATCTATCCGTAAGGAGAAACAAGGGTCGCACCAGTGATTTCATCTGCCATCATTTCTTACTTGCAGAACCCATCGAAAAACGGTACATCTAATGGATTCTCTCGTACAAATGTTCCCCGGCGAACCTCATTGAACAGCATCTGTTCCCGATCCCAATCCAACGTTGTATGTGGGCCGAAGCCCACACAGAGCGTAACTTCTTCGGTTAGATGGAAATCGCCTACAGTCTTGTATACTCCGATTCAAAAGCACCAAAGTTTTCATGTTGTCATTCCCAGACCAAAAGCACCACCTACTGTTGAAATTCAGATGCCTCCAAGCAAACTCGTCCACAGTTCTTCGAATAAGCGGATTCGCGTGCGGAGTGTGTCATCAAGGTCTGACGTTAACCTTTTACGATTCGTGTGCGGAGTGTGTCATCAAGGTCTGACGTTGAGGAAAAACCAAAATGAACCTGCGTAGTTCCCCACCTATTTGTTTCCTGTACAGTTACCAGAACTACGCAGTCACCCGAATTCCCTCCGGTTGTGATGTGTCATGTTCCGGTTCACACAACTTCGTGTGTACAAAAGTCGTCACAAAAGCATAGTGCATTCCTTTAACTCCACTTCCTTATATCCAGTTTAGTCCACCTGCGGTATCTTCATGCAGATCCATCATCTGCTTGACCCTTAAGCGCGTCACTCTACCACTTCTGAGATCATTCTCACTGTTAGCTCCACGGTTATTTTCGCTACAATCACTTGTTCTCTTCCCTCACTCAGTTATTTTAGCTACAAAGTGACTTTGTTTTCAACATGACTTGTAATTCAAAAGTACAGACTACTTCACCATTCTGCTGCGTTCGCGTTGAAGTTGATCCTTGAATAAACCGTCCAGGTAATACTCACACCATACATATGTTCACCAGCAAACGCCCAACTCAGTCTTATCATGCGGAGCCGAAATACAATAACAATGTAATTCCCATGTTAGGTGGATAGCAGTAGAACATACAGTGCTTGCTTTCATCAAGATGTCTGAGCGCCAATTTCTAGCACTTTGTTCTCGCAGTTTTCCCTTTGCAATACACTCTGATCATCCTCTAATAGGCCCAACTGTTAGTAACCAAATTCACTTCCTTGCAGCATACCATGTTCGTATTAGATAGAGCAACGCTGGTATGCTTGGCGATTTCTACCGCCTCTGCTATCAGTCTGTGTGAGGTGGACCGTAGTCCTCGCCTCAAAACGCTTTCAGTATCAAGCGTTACTGAAAGACTCGGCAATCGCGGAACACGCACTGGACACGGGGCACCAAATAGACTTAGAAAATGTTGAGGTTTTGAGGCGAGGACTACGGTCCACCTCACATAGACTGATAGCAGAGGCGGTAGAAATCGCCAAGCATACCAACGTTAACAGAGTGGAAAGCGTGGAACTGGCAAGCGTGTGGAGAACGGTCTTGGGTCATTCGAGCTAACACGTGTTGGTGTGCGATCATCATAGGGAAGAGTGGTCATCACCTGAACTCCACTTAACCTTACGCACTTCCCCTCCCCCCAACTAAATTGTCGTAATATTCACGTCCCCCGATGATCAAGGATCTACCAGTGGCACCCGGGGTGAATCGTCAAGTGAAGCACCCTGAAGTGGAAGATTAAGGAACGAAAAGCGATCGGAAGTAATTTGAAACTCCTCCAACTCACCAATTCAAGATTTTGACACCCACGCTAGCCGACAAGAGCTGTTAATTGACACTCAACACGGATCTAGTGTGAAGAGGACTTACTGATTGGTTCCCCGTCTGTCTTATAACCTGGCCAATTTGGTGACCTGTTCACTTGGCCTGATGAAGCTTTTGTGTCAAAAGCGAAACGTTGCCCAAATAAAAAACTACCATTGTTTACCAAGCTCTTCTGAAACCCAAGGGCTCATTTAACAGGTTTAAGCAAGTCATTCGCTGCGGTATGACTCACTACAGTCACACAATCGACCCATTCAGTCAGCGCTCGTTTACGTCACATCTTACCACCATCACTCAGGTCGGGCCCACTGGAGTGTCCTGCGGTTTGTCATGAATGTCCTCTCAGGTTGAGGTGACAACAACTGAGATCAAGAAAGACTCGGTCACTTGTCACCTATCAAGCATGTTGCCTACTTTAGTTCATGCGGGAAACAGAACCGCTGCTAACAAAGGTCGTAAGCGAGCGGCAGATTTGACTGCGCTCCTTTTAACACTAAACAAAATAGAACTAACGAATGAAATAGCTGCGCAGAAACCTCCATCTATCAGAAGAAACTCACTTCTTGAGAGCGCAACACACGTCCTCAGATTAAAGTAAGTAGTTTTCGATCTGTCTTAGTTTAAAAGTCCCTTTCAACAGTGTCATTCGTTTAGACCAGGTGTCCGATTCCTACACGGTTAGAAGTGCGCCTGATCGTCACACAAATTTGGGATATCTGCGTCCGCTTTGGCTCACCGTGAAAGTCCTGCTGAGGTGATTGAGGTAGAGGAGGCTGGATTGTCCTATTACCCAACAGAGTGTCAGACCACGCTTCGCTTCAACAGTGGCCTAATGCGTTGCATGATGTTAATGGTGGTGCCGTCATCGGCAACATGTCAAACAGTACCCAGCACAATGAACAAGAAGTGGATGGCTAAGCATATTAGCAAAGCTAGCGCCTGTTTGCTAATAAGATTCACTGCGTTTCGCGATCTAGATGAGACTTTCTTATAATACTACGGTGCAGACGATCCAGTTTCAGTTTCTCACCATTCAGACGACGAGTTATGTCTCTGTAAAATCCACCTACTCGAGGAACGCATATGCTGCTACACCCCCAATTACGATGTTGGAACGTTTGTCTGGCTTTTCGCGGAAGAACCCTGTTTCGGTTGTGCAGTTAGGTTAGATCTACTCGACTATCCCCAATTGGACCATAAAGATACAAACAGCTTTTAATGCTTGTCGACTTTTTGGTACTTTTTTCCTTCAGGTCCGTTAGTAGAAATGAGATGTTTGGAACAAACAGAACGGGGAATCAGTGTGGGTTTCTTGATTCCTGCCAAGACCCATAAGCACTGCACAACTCACGAATGTCCAGTAAGGTTAAGACGCAATGTTCCAGCAATTAGGTGAACACCATACTGCTTGCCCATAAGTAGCTGGTCAGTAATGTGACTCGCACTTGAACCAGCTATAGTGCATTCATTCTTCAGTCTGAGATTAATGGCTATCAGGGAGAGATACCTCTTGCTGTAAGAAAACGAACGGAGTGGTAAGTGGTGCCTTCATACACCCGGGAGGGCTTGGAAGAACATCTACATTACACAAGTTCATCTTGTGCTCCGCAGGCTTTAAGAGGTACGGGACTATCGATTCTAGGTTCCTCTGCTGATAAAAACACGGGGTGGTGCTTAATCGCTTCCCCAATATAGGCTGAACGAGAGAGAAGTACATCTAGCGAAACATTTTACTCAAGTGGATGCTAATGAACAGGTCTCAAACAAATCTGGAGGAACTAAACGCAGAGTTCCGTGACCAATGTTCCTTCTCGCTGCAACGCGCCACAACATATGAAGCATCTGAAATGGCTGAATTTCAAATATACTGAATGCAAAGCTCACGCAACCAGAACGAAAAACGCAATGGTCTCCGTCAGCTAAATCAACATGAAGAACAAAGAATAGAGTGTCCAAAGGAGTGTGACATGGTGAGAGACAAAACCAGCACGACTTGGACAGGTGTCAGATGACTGGAGGGAAGAGAAAGTATCAGGCGCTGTAAGTAGCATTTTGGACGTCAGCTACCAGAAAAGCGAACAAGTAGAGAGAAATGCGTGAACACGAAAACTCGGGTATTGATCACATCAAACAGTCCCGGCAGTCAACCACAGATGCTTTGAATTTGCTGCGGCAACATGATCTTCCGAGATACGTCGGGCCAAGGTTCGTTTTGTCGGACTTCATTCGCATCGAATTCGTAACCATTAAGATTAGTCAATCACACAACCCGTGTTGTGGAGTTTTTTGAAGCGTTAGTAAGAGCATAACCTAGTATAGTTTAGACATGTTCACTTTCGCGTAGAAAGACTCCTGTGAGTCATTCCAACATGCACTTCACGAGAACGAATTTAACGACGGCGGCAAGCTTATGAAGGTTTACAAACAGCAAAAAATCTGATTCATTTCGTTCCACTGGAGTCAACATTATCCTCTGTTGAGCGCTCGCCATTCGAATGCCGCGGTTCAAGCTCATCGAACTCCGAATGACGATCTTCAACATCCAAAAGTCGTCCAAGTTTTCCAGCTTCAGCGTTTTTCAGAATCTCTGTTATGAAATCTGGTGGTGTTCTGTTTGCACGCCTGAACAGAAGGGCCAGAAAACGTAACTCTCTCAGGCTTTTGCGTACTCTGGTCCTGAGGAGCGTGGTGATCCGCCGAAGTTCATGGTATCTGGAAAAAAGTGGACTTTTTAACAACTGTCTCAAAAACCGTCTGATAAAGCGTTAAGGTGTGTAATGTTTGGAAAATTCTAGTAGACCTGTTGAGCTACCAAGTGAAAAGTCCACGTTAGGATTGAAAACAAATTTCATTGTCACCGGAATTGATCGTGGTGTAATAAATGTAAAGGATAGAAAAATTCATCTCTTATAGCTTCATCGCCACCATAAATCAAGTTCATAGATGCGGTAATGAGACATTCTGATGGGATCTGAAAGCTCCATTCGGGTTTGGTTTCAGGCATGACGCATACACTGAAAGAAATTTGACGCTTATGGCCAAAGGATAGCACAACCGATCAGCTAGGTGGTAGGCCAGGTGTTTTCGTATGATTACCAGACCAACACGTCGGACCACATAAAATAGAATGACAGTTCTAACGCTAGTTATGATGTCCTCTTTCGTTTTATGTTTGAAACAATTTGGCTTCATAACAAATCTGAGTTTTGGCCACTTAGTCCGAGACCCATTTAAAAACCCACGCAACAAACGTCCAACCAAAGCCTGCGCTTTTGTTACAAGCTAAAATTAATAGTTTGTGGGCAAATTTAAGGAAGAGGCGGTAGTTACAGTGATCGGCAGCGTTGACAGCGAAAAAATAGCAGAATGCAGCTCAGTCTGTATCTAATTTGGGACGCTGCTGAGAGCATGAAGGTTGGTTTGGTTAGCAAAACAGCGTGCCCGAATGGCTGTTGAATGCAGTCGAACCATAAACTTATGTATTCAAATGGACACGTATCCGCTCCCCAGAAAAGGCTACGAGTAGTAAAACAGCCAAATATCATATTTTCAGCACGCTTCATCTTGAAAGCGCTGGATAAACCGTTTCTCTGATGAAACCTACACAATAACTCACAATACAACCTATCCAAGCCCCTAGTCTATTACGAAAGCATTTGAAAGTCCCAGAAAATAGTTGGTTGATGCAGCCGTTGTCACTACCGATCCGAGAATGCCTCTGATACCCGAAGCTGATGCTACACTCAACCAGGATGACAGACCGGTCGCGATCTACTTACGTACACTGTCTGCCGCCACGAAAAACATCAGTGTTATTGAGAAAGAAGCATGCGCAATTATCGGAGCAGTGACCGAATGGAAACATTACCCACTTGGAACACGTTCCAAGATCAGCGTTCAGGCATTCAACAAAGCGAAAAGGGAAAATGAAAAAACGACAAAGTCCAACGATGGAGGGTGGAGTGGTCGTCTTTTTCTTTTGATGTAACCTACGGTCCAGGCACCCAGAACAAAGTCCCTGACACGCTCTATCGGAGCGTCCATGCAAACACTTTATCCCAGCCGGATCTAAAATGCTTATATGCAACTCTGAGCCATCGTCGGGCAACACGCGTGATGGATTTCGTTCGTGCCAAGAATCTCCCATTCTCCCCAGAGGACAACTGACTCCTGGAGTGTAATCCTGAGCACACATATGTTCAACACCCTAATGGCATGGAAAAAGCGGTCGTCTTACGTCACCTGGCGTCTTTGACTGCACTACAGCATCCAAACATAGCAAGTGCGGCCTCATACTGATTCTTTCATCAAACCGGAACTATCTGACTCCTCTTTGGAAACTGAAATGTCGAATTATTCTGAACACTCGTTGGTTGCACAACAACAGCAGACTTGACGGTATTGCTTGCGCAACGGATGTCTGACACTATTCAATTATAAAACGAGCTCCTGCGAGCATATATTCTAGCGGGATCAATGTCGTGTATTTGCTCTGGTTTTTAAAGCGTTTCGCTGTTCGTCGTTCATTCACTTTTCCTCGTATTAGCTCGCAGTGTCAAACTTTTGGAAAATAAAACTTAGCTTATGTCTCCCCGGTCTTCCCGTCCTTACGCTGATTGTCGCCCGGATCCTCGTCAAACATAACAGAGGTTGGGCACCTCGGAATGATTGGTAATGAATCACTTCCCAGTCCACTTCCATTCTTTTGTTCATAATAAGACTTGCAAATAAATCATGGCTGTATGGTAGCGAAGCATCAGCGTTCACACAGTTGGTGATGATGGTGACGGTGGTTGTAGGTTGTTGTCAGGGTGTGTAAACTGATTAGTACGAAATAGCCGAATTCGGGGCCGGCCGGCTCTTCATGGTTCATTGGTTGGCGCATCATTGATAATCTGTGAAGAATGGCCACCAAAATTTTTGAAGCGTGCGGCTTCGCTATTTGAGCAATATGATTTCAGTTCTCTTTAAAATCGGAGTACTGGTTGATGTTGCCCAGAAAATTGAACGCATTCTAAAGTCTACATTTGGATAAAGATTTCTCAAGCTTTAAAGAGTTGTATGGTTCTTAAAGGTTAGAAATGTTCCTCGTAATCCTGTTAAGCCAGGTGGTCCTGTGAAAACAGACGAGGCGGTGACTTCAACCCGTTGCACAATTTAAGCACGGGGTGGTTGTCAGTAGTAGTGAACCTTGAAGTGCTCTATCCACTCACTATTAATTTCGTAGATGATTTCATTGACAAATGGGCGCCTAGGGCATGCCAACCGGATAAGACGGAAGACCTGAGAGCTCTTCCGCCGCTGACCTCTTTTAGCGATTTCTAGCTCTGTCATTCCAAATGTCTCTGGAGAGCCGAAGCCTAAGCTGACGGACGTTCCTCGATGAGTAATATCTGGAGGGAGTGGTCGTCTAAGATAGAGCAGGTTGATGGCGATTCGTTAACAAGATGTTCCGCAGTCGACTAATAATCTAACAGTATCTACTGAATGTTTAACGTGTGACCGCTAGTCCTCGGAGCAGAAAGTTGTGGTCGACTCCAGCTCAAATATTTTCACGGCGGAAGAGCCGAGGAGTCTTGTGATATCAATATGCTTAATCTCAATTTCGCTGTCGACCACCGAGGCATGGACATATTAGGAAACACAATGACGTGAACAGGATCTACACAAGTGCTCCAGTGGGCTTCAGTCACACAGGGCTTCTCCAACGATGACTAACGGTAATGTAGTCCATTTATATCCACCATTAGCTTGGAATGAGTGGACGCCAGGTTGCTACGTGACGTTTCTGGTGCAAGGAACTCTGACACTTTTGAAACAAACACATACCCAGGGAACATTTCCCGTTGTCATTTTCGTATACATCGAGTCCATGTGGACCATTGAATCGAGCATACGAAATCAATCTGCTAACGCGTGTTTTAGAGTCTCCCCTGGAACGACTATATCCGAACACGACACTCTGAGAACTAATTCTTTCAGCCAAGCAGGGAAGCCGTGCATTGATGTTTCGGTCGGCGCATCAAAATAAACGACAAACAGACTGTGCCTAGTGTTCTGCTAATAGTTTGTCCTGCATCATACTACTAGTCTGAGCGCACAGATCAACCAAGATCGAGATGTCTCAGCTGTCAAGGGGCAGTTCGGACCAAACAACAATTCGATTGCTCTTGTCAGGCTTGGCCTACCTGATAGTATATTAGCCCTTGTGATTCCCTCGAGTTCCAACTGGGCGAGGCTACCCAAGGGTACTTCCATCTCAGCAGCTAAGGAGGATGAAGTCATTTGGTCTCATCATTGTCATCGACAGCATGACATCAGTGTTCAAGACTGATGCTTCGCTGACGCACAACCATGATTTATTTGAAAGCCTCAATGTGAAGAAAATAACAGATGTAGATGGGGAAGGGACTTAGTGCTAGCTTACTACAATCATTCCTAGGTGCCTGCAACTCCACACTACGTTATGCAGCGTTTGATGATGGACTAGGCATCCTGGATTGAAATGTTGATTCGCCGTGTGCGTTGGCTTGTGTAAAACGATGTATTATCCCCTTTCTGGGGCGAGACAACTCAGCAGTTAAGGCACAAAACTATCAACCGCTGTCTGAACACAACGCTAGCTTTTCGATGGCTCCTATTCAGACTTGGGCAATCTAGCGTTAACTCATTTCTAGTGATTCCTGTAAGTTGCACAGTAGTTACGCACCGTAAGGCCGAAAGATTTTCGGTACCGATTGGCAGTAAGTTGGATGTTAGATGGAGAACCCACTGAGTTTCAAATGCAAGTACGTGAGTGCAAGGCGATACCGGTGGACGCAAGTTCAGTGTGGCATCAATCCATATAACCTACAATTATAACTTCGGGCACCCGAGTGATAGTGCCTTCGGTGGGTGATCAAGAGCAGCGTGAACTTCGTTCCAACCAATTGGAAAAGGTTTGGAACCGATTGAGAAGTCATCGTTTCAGAAGAGCTTGATAAACAATCGGTAGTTTTTATTTGGGCAACGTTTCGCTTTTGACACAAAAGCTTCATCAGGCCAAGTGAGCAGGTCACCAAATTGACCAGGTTATAAGGCAGACGGGGAACCAATCAGTAAGTCAATCCTCATCGGATTTCCACACTAGATCCGTGTTGAGTGTCAATTAATGGCTCTTATTGGTTAGTGAAGTTGTCAAAATCTTGCTTTGGTGGATTGGGGGGGGGGTCAAATTAATTCTGACCGGGTTTGGTTCATTAATCTTCCACTTCAGGGTTCTTCAGTTGATGATTCACCTCGGTTGCCACTGGTTGATTTTTCCTGGTCTTTGTGGGGTCGTGAGTGTTCCGACAGTTTGGTTTGTTGGGGGTGGGGGGGTGGAGTCAAGTGGACTTCAGGTGACGACTACTCTTCCTTCTGATGACCGCACACCAACACGTGTCAGCTCGACTGAT